ATACTTAATTATATTAATAGAAATAGGCGCGTCACAGTAATATAACATTAAGTTAAGAATATTAATAACCTACTTCGATCATAAAATCTAAAGCTCATTTTAAACTATAAAATATATATTCGTTTATCTAAAATGAAGAAACCAATTATTATTTCTTAATACAAAACAGAACCCTCGTTTCAAAACCCGACTACTAACAAATAATTAATTCAAACATCCTAATAATTTCCTTTCAATTAGGATAGAATGAAATAGATGAATCGATAGAGGAGGAACCGCAGAAAATCCGCAAAACGCCGTAAATCCGGCGGAAAATGCCGGATATCTCGACAGTACTTAACATAATCCTCTGTTATCGGAAGCGCAGCTCGTCTAATAGCCAGTGTGCACCCAGCCTAAGTCGTGAAATATGCAGGTCATATGCGAGGGCCCTTAAAACGTTTTGCAGTTGTGAATTTTAAAAGGGCTCCGTTTTGAACTACGGTACCGCGATGGCACTACACTTTGTAAATTTTAGTTTCGATATGAAACTTTAAAAGCTGGTTTGAGAAGTCCTCCTCGCACAAACCATTTCCGTAATGGACCTGAAGCATTACATTTAACATTTTTGGTTTATTTTTCAGTGCTCGTGAATATTGTATGCATCATGGTCTCGTCGTGGAGGTAAGACTCATTCAATGTCTATCAGAGCATTGAAACGTTAAAAGGATTACAAAAATCCAAAAAAACATCAGTATCGCTCCAAATTCAAATGAGTACTGCCTATTATTTTTATTTAAATATTCTTTAATATGAAGCGAATAGGCTTTCACTGGGATCTGCGGCTTCATTTCCACTAACCGTCAGTGCCCTTGCCTCAAGTTTCGATCGACAAACTGTGTACGTAGCTATTCCTGGTTTTCATCCATAAACCTTTTCACGTAATGGGTTGTAAGTAGATATTTTTAATGAAAATCTGAAACCCTTAAATTAAAGTTGAGCACTATCCAGTTACCCGTAAACGAAGTTTTATTAATATATTTTATTTTATTAATATTAGAGTTAAAGCGTATGAATGGTGTGTATTGCATATTGAAATTTATAGTTAAATTAGGAAATATAGAATTAAAACACATACTAAAATTATGATGATTGCAGTTTAAAATTCAGGTCGTATTCAAGAAATAATTATTGTATATTTTCTTAATTAAATTTTAATTAAAGTTTTATTCAACCTTTTTTTTGAATATTATAAACGTTATTGTAGGTACTCATTGCATTCTCATTAATGAACTTTATATTTGAAGTAGTCACTATTTTTAATGAAACAGCATCTCTAACTCACATTTTATAATATAAGCTATATCCTTTTGCCCTCATTAAATATCTATACTATATTATTTGTATTTATAAGCCTCAAAATATTTTATAAACATAATTCGTTGAAAGTAACCTTTGTATTTTTTTCTCAAACTTACTTAGTAAATTCGGTTATCACGCGAAGCCTTTTTCACTTTACGTATAATATATAGCGTTTATCCATTAACCAATATGATTTTAGATTTGGTAAATACTTTCGAAGATTTTCTTTTTACACAAAGTTACTTCAACTTTCTTACAATTTAGTAAAAACAACTTTTTGAAAAGAAAAGAGAATATTTGAGATCACACAGATAAATATACTCAAATAATATTATTAAATATTCTGTTTCATTCGTTATTTGGACACAAGTTAATTAAATAAAATACCACAAATCCACTAATTATAGAGTGTTTGTGTGCAAGTTGTTATTCACAAATCATAGTTACAATAAAATATAACTTAATAATGGTTTTTACAATAAAGTAATGACTTTTTATGTTAGAACTCACATTTAGATCTATTTATAGACAAAGTATTGTAATAACGATATTTTTTTATCGGTTATTAATTCTTAATTTAAGTAATTTATTTTTTGTATTTTTCATTGTTTTTGTATTTTCAATATTATCGTATCTGTTTCCTTAATACAATATGGATGAAAAACTATAAATGTTTTGAGCTTGACGACGTTTTTCTTAATCTTCTCATTGTTCCAATCCGCGTATATTTTTGTGATTTAAATTTTTAATTCTTCTATTAGAAATATTTCAGTTATATTTAATATATTTTAGTTTATTAATGTTGTATAATTTATTTCATAATTTTAATTAGCACAATGTATTGTCTGGTGAAGTTATGGTTTTATTATATACGTACATAAGGGATATGAACAGACTATTTTCCAAGAATCACACATAAGAACATCTTCCATGGAAGTTCTTCAATTAAATCTGTTATCAATTATAAAACCAAGATTCATGTGTTTGCTTACCACATCTATTTGTGATCAAGTCGAGAACATTGTATCATTATAATGTAGACTGTGATGACTAAGGTTCAGTATAGTTGGTGATATTGAAAATGTATGGAAGAATTAATATGTATCATTTTCAGTTTAAGCAAGCCTACTATTAGACTCAAATTACAAGCATATTTAAACTTTATTTTAAGTGAATTCTTATCATCTAAGAGATACAGAAGATATGAATCGAAACTTTAGTATATTTAATGACTTTCGCAATTAATGGATAACATAGTGAAAAAAGTAACAATGTTTATGGCATATACACATTTAAATAAAAGTAAGTTTTTCGGATACTACGCGTTCTTTATTATTATACAGGGTGACTGGTGAATTACTATCAATATTTAAGGAGCATTCTTTCGAATTGTGTAAAAAAATAGGTACTTAATTTTTGACCAAATTTCCGTATAAATAAAAAAAGGGTGGACACGTTCCAAGTGTTCCAAGTGTGGACACGTGGGGCGGCGTGCTGATACAACACCACGCCGCCGACGCGTATTTGTGTGTGTGTGTATACCTAATCTGTAGGGTGTTCACACGATGCGTAATTAATTAAATAACTTTTGGTTAACTTTACTTAGAAGTTTATTAATATTTATGTTATATTAATTTTTATTTTGTCATATATGATCGTCAAATATCACGTCCTCAAGTATCGATAGTAATTCACCAGTCACCCTGTATATCTACATGACCCCGACCTTTCCGTTCCTTTACAGCAATCGTGATTTCAAGTAGATGATATAAAGGACATTTTCATTTAAACAAAAACTTAATTTCATTTAAAAAGTTACATTTGTGGTTCTGTTTTGCTTTTCCGCGTAACATACTATAACAATATTTATTTCTTAGATTCCAATTTGTTTAATGTGAAAGCCTTAAGTCCGAGAAAATATATTTAATAATAGTTCTAGTACGTACGCGAATCTTTTTTGGATTAAAAAGTTTTGAGCTTGACTATGACAGTATTGTTGTATGTTATACATAGTATTTATATATATACTATGTATAACATACAACATAAATATTATGGACTATTAAAAAATTACATAAATTATATAAAAAATGTAATTTGCTTTATCATTATAAGAATGTTTAATGAGTATGACTTGTAGTTAGTACAAAGTCTGCATGATAGAGTTATGTTATGAAAAGATCTGCGTTGTTTTTTTTCCCTAAGGTACAATCATCATCATCAGCTTATCCACTTTCTACTGGTTCCTGTATGCTTTTCATATTTTGCTTTGTCACATTAAATATGATAGGTTTCTCCATAGTAATGGAATCCTACGTTAAAAACTTGGCATAATCATTTAAACATACTGGTAAACTTCACTGACTTATTTTGGAATATATTTTAACGTTTACTGTTTTGATGAATTTATATATACACGAAATAAATAAAGAAATAGAAAAGACATTCTAAATTGCCTTATCAATACATAAACGGTAATCGATATCTAAAGATATATTTTATCTTTTTATACATTCAATTAAGATTGGTCGATTTTCATTTATTTATAAGTTTTTTATGAATAACGGATTGTAATTTTTAGGTTATATATAAATAATATCCATATAAAAATCGAATGCATATTCAATGTATTAATATTGTCTGTATTCTTATTACATTATTAGATTAGAATATTAATAAGTTATACATACAGTATACTGTATTTAGGTAAAATCATATATTTAAAATCTGATGATTTATAACACTTTCACTCTCTGTAGACAGTGTACGGTATTAGATAGGTAATGAGGGTTACTAGTCATTTTATGGTAGCATCTAACTTCTATCTTTCAGCGACCTTATAAACAAAAAAGCCAAATATATATTTAATATATTAGAACAAACGATAACATCATTCAAATGCACATAGCTGCCGGATCACTTTTTATGAGCAGGGACAAATTCGACAAATCGTATTAATATATTTTTAAGTTAGTTAAATTATTTTCAGTTATCAAGTCGACTTTTTCATCTTGTTATACTATTCTCCTTATTAATTCATATAACTCAAACTTTTTATTAGTCTTTTATATCAAAATCCTTCGATTACAGTGACTTCTCAATATGTTTTGTGCTATGTTATAGTATATTTTAATTTGAACCCAATTTTATTTGAATATATTTAAGATATATAATTAATTTTTCAGCACATTTATTTCTGTAAAACAATATTTAGATATTACTCCAATATCCTGTGTAGTTCTCATTGAATTTCTTGGTCGACCCTCTCAGTTCTGATCTAAATTATAAAGCATTTCATGTATTTCTTTGTTTTCAACTATCCAAGTTAAGTCTACCTGAATCAAAGCCTTATCAGAGACACAGAAGTCGATACTGGCTTACAGTCTAAAAACTTAATATTTATAAAAGAATATGTTCCACATCTTGATTATGATATATTTAAATATTAAAACTCTCCTCACAATAAAAGTATAAATATTTTTATTTCATGTCATTTTTAACGTCACATATTTCAATAAATATCACATTCATAAAAGACTAGGCCCAGCCAAGTAATGAACATCAAACCATCGAACTGCTTAGAAGATAAATACCACCACGCGTTCATTGTGAACTTTACTTATGATTTACATTACAATAGTCCTTAATAAGAACCAAACTTAATCCTGTTTTCGTCTATGCTTCGTGTAAACTTCTCGAAGGTATTTCAAGGAGTCCGTGTACCAGAGGGGAGAGGTGGAGAATTCCTCGTCGATGACGAAGGAAACTGGAGACGAGACAGTCGCTGCGGGCCAACGTAGTGGCAGCAACTCACTCACTACTGGCGTTGGATCCCTGGGAAATATAAAAACTGCTATTAAATTTCCAATAGTTTAATGTATAAAATTACTAAGATTCCTTTGAAGCTATCATAGCTAACTTTTAAGTAAAAAACAAGTAGAATCGAAACATATTATCGCCAACAAAAACGGTAATAAAATGGAATTTCTATAAAAGATAAACTATATTTGAAATTACCACAAAAGATATTCAACGTACCCATATTTGGCAAAGTTTGTCCATAAAGTTGTCATTCTATTTATCATTTTATCTTCAAAAAGAGTAGGAAGCCACATCACTCTGAATAGGTAGAACAAATCTTCAGCGTGAGTCGGCCCTTTCTTGGATTCAAAGGTCTTACCAATAGCTAATTTGATAAAATTGCGCCATCCGCTATATTTAAAGAGGTAGCTGTATACAGGCTTGTCATTAGTGTTTATATAAATTTCAGTTTCTTCTAAAATTGGATACGTAAAGTATACTTCTCCATGGAAACGTGATAAGTTTGCTAAAGTCCTCTTAGATATTTCCTCATCACCAATATAATAATTCCTAAGCTTATCTCCGACTTTTTTCCGTTCCGACTCCAAAGGTATTGACAAGTCTTTTGGCAAAGATTTTTCTAATTTTATATTTGGAATTGTTGTGTCATTTTCGAGACTAGCAAAAAGTAAACCTTCTTCAAGATTGGAACCTATCATTATCGGAACTTTATTATAATGACCTTTGGTTAATACGTTATAGGGAAGATCCGTTAAGAATGGTTCTATGCCTTCAAATTCTTTTTCAATACAGGGTGTATAAAGACATTCAGATAATATAATGTGTCCCTCTTTTCTAGGCACTCTGGTCACAATTAGCTCTGAATCAGATTTATTTAATAATATATTGTATAACTCTTGAGCATCTTCCGTTAAGTGTCCCATTACTTTTGTTATTAAACTGGCCATGTAGACTGGTTTAAATTGCAGAACCCAAGAACTTAAAGAGGATCCGCTCTGCATGATAGCCTTGTGAAACAATCCTTTCGACATTGGAGATACAATATGAAGAGATACAGATGCTGAGCCAGCGCTTTCTCCAAATATTGTAACATTATCAATATCACCACCAAAAGCCTTGATGTTGTTCTGAATCCATTTCAGGGCAGCTACTTGATCCTTCAGCCCAGCGTTACCTGGCGCTTCTTTGATTCTGAGACAGCCGAAACCTTGAATATTTAATCTATAATTCACCGTCACCAATATTACGCCTTTGTTAACGATATAATCTGGACCATACATAGAAGGTGTTGCTGACCCGTCGTAAAAACCTCCACCATGGAAAAATACCATAACAGGATATCTAGAATTAGATGTTGCGTCTAATGGAGTATAAACATTTAAAGTGAGACAATTCTTTTGTCCCACTACAAGACTTTTGCCAATCCTCTGGAAACAACGAACATTTTCTTCTATCGCTTCAAAAACACCATCCCATCTCAGGTTCACATCAGGTGCCTAAAAGTAATACAATTCGGAATGATAAAACTATTGATGTGTGATTAAAAATCTTTCCGAATAGCTTTTAGTTAATTTAAATATTTGTTTTATATTTTTAATGAAGTGTTTTCTCATGTAGACGTATTGTAATATTATCGAATTAGAGGTTCTAGTTCCATAAAATATATTGCTATAAAAAATCGAAAGGCTCAATTACCAAAAATAAATATTTAATTTATATGTAAATACTATAATAATTTCATACCTGAAATCGTTTGATAGGATGCCTGGCATAAGGTATCGCGAGGTATCGCTTGTGGGAGCCATCAGGAGCAAGAAAACCACGCAACCAACCACCAGTCACACGAACCAGTGGTGTTGGTTGCTGAACCAAACGAGCGGCCCAAAGAGACCACAACACAACCCAGTAGAACTTCATCACTCAGACATCAACGTGGGAGCAAAGTCATGTCTCGAATTCAGTAGTAAAAATCAATTACTCCTTTATAATGCTAAGTTCACATGTTCAAAATGTGTCATAGTGACAGGACGTTATCAAGTATACTATCAAGGCGATAACGATGACTTTTAATTTCTTTATCTATAATATATATGTTATATAGATAGCTGCAACACTTCACTACTAACAAGGAACTCGCTTTGTGTTCTTGTTCATTGCGTTACAATGTTTCGACTGACTTGATTCGAGTTTGAACCCTCAAGGATATTCGGAACGATGACTCGTATTATTACACTTACATAATAGATTATTCGCTTCATGATAGCAACTAGTTATTCCAATCATTTATACAAAATCAGTGTCATGTTTCATATATTATTTTTCGAAATTGATTAACGAATAAAACTACAATCATTACTTTGTATTATTTGTATTAACAATAAAAACTGCAATGTTTCTCACGGTGTGTATAGCAGTATCAGTTTTTTCTTCCTACACAATGACCTTCACATTTATTGTACATATACAAGTTGTGTTAAAAATTAAAATTACGTCAATTTTACTAAACACATTTATATTCAAAAACTGTATTAAAGCTATTGTTTAGATTTAAATCATTTTACAATTAATTCCTATCACATCCAAAGTACTAATTACGAGTGTATCAGACCCTACTATCCAATAAGTTATAAATCTTATTTGACGTTAATCACTATAATTAAGAGTAGATAGAATTTCGTATTAAGAAGTATCTATAATAATCTATATTGTTTATTAGTAGATATAAAAAATAAATTAATTAAAACTAGTGTTTATGCTAAACGTGTATATTTTATATACATGTCGTAATAACACGCAGCATGTATTAACACACATAAGGAAAAACGTGTAATCCAGGTCCCACTGGCATATATGTTCAACGCGGTTGGATTCTACACATTCAATTATGAATTTTATATGTTTGTATTAAGGTATATTATAGAACAGAAGGATTTGCACAATGAAAGTAAGCTGTTGTCGGATACTTAAATGGCAGTGAATGTAGCCGCGTTTACCACCGCTTTGACGAATATCATTCGTGTACCGGCTTAAGACGAGAACTGTGGAGTGTGATTTAATAATATAAATAATGTGTCTTGATTAGTAAAAATGGGAACTATAGAAGAAGTGACCAATATAATGTATATGTGAATAGTATTGTGTATATCATATATTAAATGCATCCTGTATAAAGTGGTCTTAAAACACGCAAATGGAAAAAACTTAAGTGGATTCTGTGGAAAAAAATTGATGAGGTTCTAATGAAGTCTCACTGGCTGATATTATGGTCGCTGTGGGCAGCTCGACTTGTACGGCAACCAACATTGCCTGTGCGAATATCGAGTGGCCTTGTCCGCGGCAGCCTGGCAGCTGATGGATCACATGTCAGCTATCTAGGTCTACCCTATGCTTCATATCAAAATAGGTTTCAGGTAGTTTAACCATACTATGTGTGTGTACAAGTATTTTAATCTTTGTGCCCTTAGCATCAGCTTCTATCTTCAAAGTATACACCAACCAAGTTTTGTTTTACATAAACTTACTTCAATAGACCAATTTACCAACTTATGAATGAAAATAAGCAAATACATTCATACTTAATCAATTTTGAAAATTGTACAAGATTGCAGCAGAAAAAAAAATTGTATTATTTCTCTTACCGGTTGCGATTGCCACATTACTTAAACTAAATTGATAAACTCAAACTCAAACAACTTTATTCAATATAGAAGCATTACACTTTCTTATTGATGGTCATTTGAGACTACCACTAAATCTGATAAAACTTATCTGGTAGTTATTTATTAATGCTATTAAGAGTTGTTTAAATAATATGGCAAATAGAATAGTTAAACTCTTAACGATTTATTTATGAGAGCAAACAAAGCGGAAATTTACATATAGGAATAAACTGTCACTTTTATTTTCAGACTTCTCAGCCATCTGCAGAATGGGACGGTGTATTCGAAGCTACAGAGGAACATATACGATGCTCTCAGAGATTTTCCAACACTTGGATAAACGGCCAAGAAGACTGTCTCACTCTAAATGTCTATACTCCGATACAAACTCTGACATCAGCGAAACTGCTGCCAGTTATGGTTTTCATTCATGGCGGAGGATACAGAGATGGTTCTGGTTCTCCTTTTCTTTACGGACCTGATTATTTAATACGTCACGGAGTGATACTAGTCACTTTTAACTACAGACTTGAAGTACTAGGATTTCTTTGCTTGGGTATAAAAGACGCATCTGGTAACATGGGCCTGAAAGATCAGGTGCAAGCACTGCGCTGGGTTAAAGAAAATATAAGAGCATTTGGAGGAGACCCCAATCAAGTGACTCTGTTTGGAGAGAGTGCCGGCTCATCTTCAGTACTATATCATATCGTCTCTCCTTTATCTACGGGTTTATTTCACAGAGCAATAATGCAAAGTGGTTCCGCCATGTCACCCTGGAGTTTACAGTTTGAACCATTTAAAACGGCTTCACGTTTAGCTCATCAAATTGGATATAAATTAGAAGATCCTAGCGAAATTCTTAAATTACTATCAAAAATGTCCGTCAAAGATTTATTATCCACTCGCGTTCCAAGAGCGAAGGGTGACGTCATATTGTCAGAAAATATATTTGTCCCGTGTATTGAAAACAATAATCTCGATGAAGAAAAATTCCTAACCGATTCCCCGTATAATTTAATTTCGAAAGGTCAATTTAACAAAGTTCCAATAATAATGGGTTATAACAACGCCGAGGGCTATATGTTTATTGGAAAAGAAAATAAGACTACTTTGGAGACATTCAATTTTTACGACGCATTACCGAGAGATTTAGAATTTCCGTTAGCATCAGAAAAACATGTCGTAGCTAAAAAAATGGAAAACCAATATTATAAGAGAAAAGATTTTGGAAATGATAAACTGATTAAAGTAGCGAAATACGAAGGTGACTCTGGAATTGTATATCCAGTAACAGCGACAATAGAATTACTTTCAAATGGTATGAAGTATCCGGTGTATGCTTATAAGTTTTGTTACGATGGATGGATGAATCTTATCAAAATGTTGTTCAGGCTTTGGAAGTATCCTGGAGCGACGCATGCTGATGATTTATTTTACATATTTAAAGTGAAGGCGACGCTTCCACAATCATTTATAGAAAAGAGTATTATTGACAGAATGGCATTAATGTGGACTAACTTCGCCAAGTACGGGTACGCATTATAACTATAGTAGTATTTTTTAATACTTATATCTTCAAAAATAGTTAAATATTTATTTTATATTCCAGGAATCCAACTCCTGGGAATCAAAAGCAACTACCGAAAAAATGGAATTCAATTAATAGAAAAAAACCTCAACTAATTATCATAGACAAGGAGTTCTCCTCAGCAGGTCTGTGGGATGACGAAGATTTAAGAATTTGGAATGAAACCTACTCCAAATACAGAAGAAGAAAATAAAGAAAACAGAAGTATAGAAATATTCAAACAAGACTCGATTTTAGAGATTTATTATATACTTGTTTTGAAGGTAGCTTTAGGGAGGGAGGGTTGAAACTATTAAGTTTTTAAAATACTTAAATTCTTATTAAAATTTATATATAAAATTATAACATTGTTTAATTTTTTTAAAAATATCTATAAAAGGTTCGTTAAAAGAATTTGATTATCTGAAATTAAAGAGTTGAGGCTTTTTTACATAATGTATAGGAAAATATTTGCCTTTTTTTAAATTATATGATCAACAATAACAACCAATGCATTAAGACTTAAAAGTAATATTACATATGCAAATAAATAATATTTGGCTTTTAAAAAGCTAAGTAGAAATAAATACAAAGTCAAAAGTCCAGAAAGTACTAGTAAAACAGATTTTTTAAAATAAATTTAAAGATAGGACCAATATGCCTTTAAAATATTGAGACGCTTGTAATGATATAACAAGTATAGACTTCAGGATACTTACAGTTGATCGACAAAGTATAATTTGTCAAAATGGAATGTCTTGTTGTATTTTTCAATTAAGAAACCCTAAATCAAGAATACCGAGAAGCAAATAAATGGATCCTAAATATAAAGTTACATCAAAAAGATTGCTTTATTCGCACATTGTCAACTCATCACCACATTCTTCGTTTGAAAGACGACAGTTTTCTTAAAACAAACAGATATATGTTGCTGAATATTGTAAACCCTTTAACTTTTCTATGAGGACTTTTCAAGAATTTTATTAATTTACTAGAATTGAAGTACTTATGTGAATAAAACGTTGAGTAAAATTTTTTATTTCTATAAAAATGGTGGTTAAAACGTGAAAGAAAATTTGTGAACTTTGTTCGTACTAATACATATAACATTTTACATAGTATCACTTTAGAAATTAAACTATGAAAAAGAAATTTTAACAAATCTTATGGACATATTATACAATAGATTTTAATTTTACAGCTAGTGTCCAAATATTATTATATTCCCAATAATATAAAAAACGATTCAAAACAATAATATAAAAACACAAAAAGTATAAAATATATGTTTTTGTAGATTATCAATATGATATTAGTTTCGCTTTTTTATATAATTCAGTATTGTGGTCCCTTAATTTATTCTTTTTTTTTTTAATAACTTATAGTTAAAAATAGTATCGTCAAAGCTAAAACTATGAATCTCTTAAATATTTTGTATTAGTTTAAGGTCAAGTACGGTTATTACCATAAATGATTTCACCATACGACAAACAAACAAAGTTCATGGCTCGGTTAGATAAGTGGTTTCTTTGTAACTCCTACCATTTTGTGATAATTATTTGTTCTAGAAAAAAACTAATAGCGTTTTTAACTCAAACGAAATAGACATCGTAGCGTAAATTGCCTCCAATTTAAAGAAAACAGGTATCTGAATATTATGTATACATAAGGAAAAGGCACTAACTAATGTCTATACCTAAACTATAGGTAATTGGATACTAAATAAATATATCGATGCTATAATATTCTACTAGTGACAAAAAAACATCTTATTTAAACCAATAGTTTAATTTTTTTTATATTTTATCATAATTAAGTAATCCCCTTTAGAGGAATAATTTTATATTTTTTATAAAAAGAGTTTTCAATACTACTTCAAGTCCAAGTTTGTGAAGTAACAAGTCTTGTCTTCGTTCCGCAAACTTAGAAAGTCTAGGAATCCTAAAGAAAAAATTATAAGTTATCATTTGTACAAAATATTTATTATAACAACTCTATTTTAATGAAAAAGCGCATATTAAAATATTACACATCGTTTTATGGTAGTTTTTCAATAAAATAAGGAGATGTAAGACTTCAAAAATTGTACAATCCAGCGTAATATATTTCATGTTTTAAATATAATCGCAGAGCATCTAAATACGAGAAGATATTTATTATATAATTGTTTTACCGTTTCTGATATTGTCTATTAATAACTTTTGTTATTACTTTTGCTTGTATCAAATAAATATACATATTTAAAAAAACAATGCACTGTTTTCCTCACCGGTAAGGATTTGGTAATAATGATTAAATCTATTTAATAATAGAAACTACTTTGAAGCTAGTATTAGTTATGTGTAATAAGGGAAGTGCAACTGATTAAGGAACACAACAAAAGTGAATCGTTCAAAAGACTTTACAAACATAAAAACAAATTAAAAGTTTCAGTAATTCAATTGAAAGACACTTATATATTTGTCTAAATATCTAAACACCAATTTCTGTTGACGAATGCAGCTCTTGTCATAGCTTGTCCTCATTTATTATCTAAGCGTCCTTTGATACGAAAACATCATTCAACTTTTGATAATATATATGTACCTTATTAACTTTAGTATAGCAAGTAAATTTGAATATAAAATAATTATTATGCGTCCGCGCACAACGCCAGGACGCGACCTCACACTACCCGCCCGCTACTCTGATCATACGAACGTGTTATTTATCATATAAATAAACATTCCGCATATTATCACCTATTATTTAAACGATAAAAAGTTATTAATTGTGTCGAATAATATGGAATAAGATAATGTAAAGTGTCGGACACGTTAGATAGAGTCCTGTGTATAATATGAAGTATTGGGTGCTTCTGTCGTTGGCGCTGGCTAATTTGGTTAGGACACCTTCTCCCGTGGTGAGAGTGGGGAGCGGTTTGGTGAGGGGTCTAGTCAGTGATGACGGCAGGGTCTACAAGTACCTAGGAGTGCCGTACGCGACAGTGGACAAGACCAATCGATTTCAGGTTAGTGCTTCATAAATACTACGCACTGTGTTTATTAGTAAAACATTTGTAATTTATTCCTCATTGAATATACTAATAAAGTTATATAATGTACTGTCCTTGTTATGCTACTGTATAATACGCATTTATAATATAAAATTTGTCATTTAAGTTTTTGTTCCATATTGATTTTGAATTAATTATTATAATTGAATTAATTATTCATTATTTACCTTTTTTGTGTTTGCTACGACTTTTATACGTTAGGTATAAATATCTGAAATGAGGAGCGAAATTTTATTTTTCTATACATAGACGATAAACCATGACAAAGTTGAAGAAATAATAGCATTTCTATTGTTAATAAAAACCAATTTATATGGAACATTTCTTTTTTTATCAAACCATGTTAAATAACTTTTAAAGCACGAAATTGTATGACTCAGTGAGTCATTCAAGGATTCTTGCTCATTGCAACTCGACGGCCGTGGTTGATCTGAAATAGTTACAACATTCGATTTTCCTTCCCGTATAGTATAAACAGTATAGTTTTTATGAATGAAATACAAAAAAAACAGTTATTGTTTATAAAATTAAATAAGTTTCTCACATACATATATGTATTATAAGATGAATAATAATACCACTTCAATAATATGAGAATATATATATGCAAATTGTATAACGTGACATAATCCTGTTCTAAACGCCCTGTTCTAAATCTCTTTTTTTTTTATATATTTTTTTTAACGTGGGAGCACTTGTTATAATCTTTACTCTTCATTATAATACATAAAAATAATAAACCTGTTGGTAATGTAAAAATAACAAAGTATTTGACGGTCACGGCCTTATTTAAAATTAAAACAACTAATACCGCATAACTATGACAGGAGTCGGGATAAATTATTATCCCTATGTACTATGGACTGTATGTATTAACATACAGTCCTGATCTGGGACCCAGTGATTTTTATTTATTCCCAAGAAGTAAAGATAAAGAGGCGAAGAGGTCTCTAAGCAAGAATTGGCCCTCTGCTTTTTTCAGTGGTTCCATTCAATGAAACTATGTGTAGATAGAAAAGAAGATTACTTTGAAAAACAATAAAAGTATTCACATCTTCTTACATTAAGACGTTTTTAACTTCTAAACATTTTCAGAGTTACCTAGGTATCAAGAATGCCTTCCTATTTTTTCTGCTTGTTAGATCTTTGGAGCCTTAAAATAAATAATTTTAATACCAATATAATTAAAAATATAAATAAAATTATTTGCCTTTATATTTTTATGAAAACTCCATCTTACAAAATAAAGTAATAGGGAAAATAAGGAAAAAGGGAAAATAATTAAATATTTTCCTAATAACGGAAAACATAATTTCCAATATTTTCTGCTAATTACGTAAATTAATATAAATTTTAAATTTATTTTATGGTTCTAATGAAAGTACAAAACGATTCCTTAAAGACATACATTTTTCAAAAATATGATCTTCTGTCAGTATAGTAGCCCCGTAAAGAATTCGTGGAAAATAAAATTGAAAAAAAATGAATCAGGTTGCTGATTTTTTACCTTGATAATAATTATTTTTTCAGGCTCCACTACCACCGCCAAAATGGGAAGGAATCTTCGAAGCAATAGACGAAAATATGAGATGTCCGCAAAAAATGATTGGACCTATTATATTCGGAGAAGAAAACTGTTTAAAACTTAATATACACACTCCAGCTGTTAAAAAAAACTTACTTCCAGTTATGGTATACATTCATGGGGGGTGTTTTATTGAAGGCACCGGTTCCTCGTTTTTGTATGGACCAGATTTCATTGTTGAACAAGATGTCGTATTTGTTGGAATCAATTATAGATTAAACGTCGAAGGTTTCCTCTGTTTAGGCATTAAAGAGGCTCCTGGGAACGCTGGACTGAAAGATCAGATAGCGGCTCTAAAATGGGTTCAAGATAATATTGAAGCATTTGGTGGTGATCCTAATAACATAACATTGTTTGGTGAGAGTGCTGGTGCGGTCTCCATATCTTATCTGATTATGTCCCCTGATGCAAAAGGTCTCTTCCATAGAGCGATTTTACAAAGTGGCGCCACATTAGCACCCTGGGCAATCCAACATGATCCTATAAAAACAGCTCGAAAATTATCTCGCAAGTTTGGTTACGGCGGCAAGGATCCATATAAGATTTATGAAACGTTATCCAAACAGTCGGTCAATGATTTACTTAGGGCAATAAAATATACTAAGATCAAAAATCTTATAACCTCAGACATGTTATTTGTGCCTTGCGTTGAAAAAATCATACCGGGTGTGACACCTGCAGTTCCCGAATACCCTGTGAATGCTATAAAATCTGGAAATTACTTCAAAATACCAATGATCATAGGCAATACTGATCTTGAAGGTATTTATTTTGTCGGATCCACCTACGGAACCAGTTTAAAGAACATGAAAGAACAGGTGAATCCATATGATCTCTTCTTTGACGATTTGCAATATCCATCGAAGGAAGTTCAGAATGCTACTATGTCTGATATTTTTCAATATTATTTTTCATCCAACAAATCGGATTTGATAATGGAGTTAGTGGATTTTTTTTCGGATCTTCATATAAAATATCCGATAGCTGTCGAATCTAGCCTGTACTCTGAAACCACCGACCAGCCCATATACTACTACGTCTTTAAATATGGTGGACTCCTTAATATGGCCAAATTTATATCTGGCTTTTTTATAAAAGACGGAGCTTCGCACGCCGACGATCTCATGTATCTTTTCAAACCAAGCTCATTTCCCTTACCAATGAGATATTTTGAAATGGATATGATGAAGCGAATGGTGTCACTTTGGACGAACTTCGCGAAACACGGGTATGTATATACAACTTTAAGGCAGGCATGAACAAACATCACTGCATAACACTTCAATAATAAAAAAGAAAATATATAATATATAATAATAAATACTTCGAAATATATAATAATAAATACTTAGAATTCACAAAACCGAAAAATTTTAATGAATAATAGTAAAATAATAACATGAACGAGAGCTCGAACAACAATTATTAAAGCATAAACAAAACTCCAAGCGAATAAATACATTTTGGTGAAAAATTCTAGCGGCTGGCATTTTGTATGAGAATCACGTCCATCGGTGTTATTATATCGACAAATTTATTTACGAAGCTCGAGAGCTGCGCGAATGCGAATTTCATTTATATATGAAATTGCTAAATATGAGCGAGTTCTGTTTTAGAAACGGACATTGCAATGAATTTTCGGAGCGAAAGTTTTGGCAGTTTGTGTTATTAGGTTTATCATTTGCTTTGTTCATTACATTGCTGTTCTTAGTTGGCTTTGTTTAGAGGCAGCCTCGCAATGTTTTATACAAATTTCAATATTTTTGTTTCAGTGACCCCACACCGAAGCCGACGAAACTCCTTCCAATACGTTGGAGGCCGAGTAAGTCATCTAATCCCGTAGCACTTGTCATTGACAAAAGTTTCAGCTCCGCTCCTATGTGGAAGGAAGAGACGATTGCATTGTGGAACAACACTTATACGAAATACAGAAGAAAAAGATATGGGTTTCATTGATTGAGGTTCATTCGGACAAGTTAAAAATGTACTTATAAATTATAATATCAACTTACTATAAGAGCCCATAAGGTTAATTGAGTGCAAATTAAAATCATAAAAAAATGTATAAAGTTATTATTTATATACAAAGTATTTCGTCTGCACTCAACCTTAGTCTCGTTGCCTCTGCAAACCAAATCTCTGTTTGTCTGGCGACTTATAACAATTAGTCCAATTGTTTAGTTATTTATTTTACGAGTATAGTGTAAATTATGCAAAATAACATTAATATGTCCAAAGATTAAATAAATATGTATATTAAAATCTTTCAAAGTACCAACCAAGCTTGTTTTCAGTTATTAAACACCTGTTTTTAAATTTTTGTTTTACTTAACAATAACTTACTTATTCGATTTTAATTCATAAATATTTATTATAATTTACTTTTTGCACAATACAGAATTTTTTGGAAAAAATTATTTATAAACACGATTTCATATTCTTCCATATTTAACCATTTCTGGAAATATAAGTTATAGTATAAAAGAAACCGCTTGCTCAAGAATAAAAAATAAATGTAGATATTTTCGTAAAACTGAAATTAAAATGTCAAGGCAGCTGAAACATCATTTAGATAAACAATCAAAAATTCTTGAACAGACAGCAAAAATGTTGATAAACAGGAAGGCAAAAGAAAAAAGGGCCGCAAAGTAACAAGTTGGCAAGTACAGTCGCTGAAGGCTGTTTGTCTGTCAACTGCGCTTATAGCAAAAACTTGGACGCCCCGAGCGTTTGAACTCTCGGATTAAAATAAAATGTTTCCGAACAAAAGTGGCTCGAGCAAAGCTTCCTTTCTGATTGTTACTGTGCTTATCAACCTCACTTCACTGTTTGTGTTTAAATAACCAAAGTTTTTCATGTTTGGAAATTTGTAGCCACTTGAATGAAAAAAGTAATATTGTTCGATAGAAAAAACATAACTGGAGGTATTATATAATGAGACGGTTATGAAATATTAAAAATACATTAACAAATAGTATCAGGTTTCAAACGTATTCGTTGTACAACTTCCTATTTAGATTATGTACCCTAAACATGACATAGCGGAACAGAAATGATGACATTAGCAGTCCATCTGCACGGATGAGGTAAGTAAACAGTTTAAGTTCGTCAGCGATGGCAAATTGCTGAACAAGTGAACTACCCACAAGTTCCCAACTACTCGACGTAATTTTGTTGTTTAACAACTACAAGTAAACGAGGTACGCTCGCGGATTTGTTCCTGCCGTGCCGATGTTTTGATTTGTAGCGAAGTTCTTAAATAAATGAAAGAAAACATTCGATAATGTTGCTCTGCGAAATAAGTAAAAATTAAAACCAAATTACTCCAAAGTCCATATTTCAATACAAAAAAAGACCTCAAAGTGTTATTCTAAAAGTAAACAACTTTGTATCCCACTTCTCACCTACAACTTGTACTCCATAAACTGAGGTTTTCCGCTTAGCATACTATTTAATTTTTGTATTGTATAAAAGAAGATTAAAAACTTAAATATGAGCCTGAAATAACTTATCAGTTACATCGGAAAGACATCTCTTGCGAGGAATTATAATTAACTCAAGTTTATACTGTTGCTTTAAAATTTGGACTAATTTCAAATCTTTACAAAACTTTAATATGTATATTGATTTCATACTTCATTCTGGTTTAGAAAACAGCTTGATATCTATTAAATTAATACCAGTTTTAATTTCTATATAACTATAATTTTATATATGTCGTTAATAAAATCTAAACAATTTAACATCATTATTATAATAGTTTTAAAACAACTTACCAACAAAGTATGAAAATGAAAATCATTATTTTTTTTGCTAACATATTTCAATGACATTTTTTACACAACTTTTTTATCCATATAATATCTTTAAATTTTTTTCATATACAATATATTTTATTTGAACATAAACTTCAACAACATTAGAATAAAAACATCCTAGTGATAATAAGGAATAGTTTATTTGTACAGAGAGAGTTATCTCATGATCTAGAATACTAAATAAAAGTAGATTGTAAATATAAAACAATCTCAATACTTATATGGAATTAAAACATCTATAAAAGCATGTATTTCATTTTGCCGCATTGTTTAGTTTAAATAATAGGAGTAGATTAAGCATAATACAAATAGTTGCAACGAGTTGTGCAGCTCAGCGGCACGAAGGGAGTCGTGGATTCCTTATAAAATGCAATTATGCCAAGCGCGAGCCGTCGGCCGACGGACGGCTGTTAATCCGCGTAATAAAGAAAAATACCCGGGAAACGAAGGCTAATTGTTATAAACTGGGAAAACATGCAAATTGGACTTCCTCAGGCTTTTAATTCTCCTGAAGTTATCCCGTTCGGTCTTGTAGTGTAATGACTGGAATTCTGGGTTAGCTTTTGTTATGAACTACCCTTTCAGACAATCGACAGAGGCCTAGATATAAAAAAATGGATTAGTATGAAGGGAAATGTTAATAAAGTAAACTATGTAATGATGACGTAATAAAGACTTTGAAGTTAAGTTGTTAGCTCCGTTAGAAAATCAATGTAAGGCAGTTATCGCTGGGATGATATTATTAAAGTTGGTAGTTTATGGAGTCTTGAGACGCAAGTGTTCGCCATTTAATTTAAATGCTTTACGGGCACGACGACCTCTGGGAGCGATATCTTCCACAACTATTACATGATAAACTCAACAGCTGGAAGAAGCCTCCTTAAATAACTATATTTATATTGAAATTAAATTATCAATAGTCAATTATGTATTTAGATTAATAATAATATTTATCTTTAGAATTCAATACTATGGAAGCTAACAATACAATAATATTTATTAATATAAATTGTAATTCCTAATATAGTACATACTTATATAAAATATTTAATAAAAAAAAACAGTCTCTTTGAAAATAACAGAAAACTAGAACTAATGACAACACACGAGTCAATTACGATTTTATATTATTTTAGTCGAGAAAATATATTTTTTATAAAAATATTTGTCGTACAATATCTTCTTTCATTTAATAAGAAAACCTAGACATATCAACAATTATTAATATTAAGAAACCATTCTTGAATGATATTCGTTGAACTACATAAAAAAATACGTTTTTTTAAACCGAAGTCTGTTTTTGTGACAAATGAAAAATTAAGAGGGGACTAGTTAACGAGTCATTAAGTATATTTTAAGCATTCCTTTTTTAACTAAGTCATAGTAAACTCCTCATCGACTAAGTCAATCATATCTGTGTCATTTAACGCGCTTTACGCAACATTACTTCACAATTCTCTTCACTTTCCGTTAACAGACTGCGACTAGTCTTGTCCGTAGTCTGCGAACATCGATTGCTGGGGAGATACCTACCTCGTGCCTCCAGTAACTAACACTCAGAGAATATTTTTTAGTTTCGTTATGAAGTTAATAGAAAATAATTTAACACCACTACCAAGTTCTCAAAGAACTCAAAGATAGGTTCAAGCTATGAGACAATGAAGGCTTATATGAAAACATTAGTATTACTGTACGTGTGTCTGTATGTGTCTGGTAGTTTGTTGACGTCTGTCATTCAAGTGGGTCAAGGCAAGTTACGTGGAGTACGCAGTTCCTTCAAACAGAACAGGTATTTTAGTATACCATACGCAACTAGCGACAGATTCCAGGTTAGTTAAATGTTGTTTTACTCGTAAGTCTAACTATTTGAAACTATTTGTATAAACATTGTAATAATATTATTTCTATCCTAACTATACTAATGTAAATTTTATATATTGACTTCACTTGTCGTAATAATTTCTGTAAGATAATAATCAATACAACATTTAATTCAATAGTTAAATTTTTAAAACAAAAATTATAATGTAACTTATTAATACCTATTATGTTAACGAATATGAATTATTGCGAAAGTTTCAACAGTTATAAAACATATAACCGTTATTAACGTCAGTCAGTAATAGTTGAATTATAGATTATTTCAAGTTATTTAATTAAGTCTAATTATTGTTTCAGCCTCCTCGAGAGCCACCAAAGTGGAGAGGGATATTTAATGCTATAAATCCTTTTGTGAGATGTCCACAAAAAATATCCTTTTTCGTAACTGGCACCGAAGATTGCCTTTACTTAGATGTATACACTCCAGAACAAGTTAAACCTGAACACAAACTACCAGTTATGGTGTTTTTTCATGGTGGAGCATATTTTAAGGGCAGCAAAGAATTATACGATCCAGAATTTCTAGTCATGAAAGATGTGATAGTTGTTATAGTTAATTATAGGTTAGGGGTCTTGGGATTCTTGTGTCTGAATGGAGTATCTAATTTAGGATTAAGAGACCAGGTAGCAGCCTTGAAATGGATTAAAAGAAATATCAATGCATTCGGTGGCGATCCCGATAATGTAACTCTATGTGGCCAGAGCGCCGGCGCCAGCTCGGCTTCATTACACTTATTATCAAAACATAGTACGGGTCTATTCCATAAGATGATACTTATGAGTGGTACGGCGTTATCGACTTGGGCATTTAATATCGAGCCTCTCAAGCCAGCGATGCAAGATGCGCAAGAAATTTCTCATGTCAGCAACGAGGAGGAGGTGTACAATACATTTGCCAAGGCGCCGCTGTCAGCACTCATGTACGCTACACACGACACCTCAGTAAACCCACGCTACTTTAAGTACTCGCCGTGTGTAGACGACACATTCCCGGACCCATTTTTCCACAATGCGCCGTATGAAATTTTTAAATCGGGAAACTTTAACAAAGTCCCCGTAATTATAGGTTATACTGATATGGAAGGTGCATTTTTTCATAGATTATTAAGTGACAAATTAGCTAAGGATTTAAATGATAATTTTATGGATATGTTGCCATGCGTATTCTCGTCATGCTTGGATGACGAAAAGCAGAATATTGGACGAATGATACGTTCCCATTACTTCGGTAATAAAACCATAAGTTACAAAACATCATACATCGGCTTGGCGAATTATTTTTCAGATTGGATTGCATATGGAACAATTAACCCGTTTTCTAAAATATTGTCACAGTACTCTGACCAACCTGTATTTAATTACCAGTTTTCATATGAAGGCGGAAGAAATTTTGGCAAATTTATTTCTGGTTTCAATTTCAATGGGACCACACACGCTGGGGAACTATTTTACATTTTTAAACCTTTAGGTTTATCGCTACCACTGTTGGAGAGAGACCAAAGAATGATCAACATATTTACCACTTTGATTAGTAATTTTATGAAATATGGGTACGTGTTGCAACTTTCACTGAAATATATAGGTATATAATAATATAAGTTATATATAAAAAAAATACTTATGATATAGTAATCTAGAACATATATTAATCATTTTACTTTCACTTTCTTCATATATTATTATTGTAAAATTTACATTTTACATATAAATTCGTTATATTACAGAGAACCAACACCAAACAAGGGCAACGTAAAACTTCACTGGCCTTCAGCAAATCTAAATTCATCAAACATCTTAGTTATCGAGGAGAAAATGTCTTTGATTGACCTTCCTCATAAACAACAGCGAGGCGAGTTCTTCTTGAAGATGCTGTGCACGTTTGGGAAAAATGGCTATGTGCCTTGCGAGAGCGAGCAACTGTGTACAGAGGAAAATAAATAATGTGTTACAAACATGTAGCGATATATACAAAAACACCGATCAAATTATACAGAAACGATATTTATTATAACCGTAAATTATTACGAATAATTAAATGTGATCAATGTATGTACATATATAGTTTTTGCGAAGAAATAAACTTACCAATAAGGATCTCTCACAAGACAAACAAAATGAAGTAAGACCAAACGGGATCAGAGCAATGCGAGTTTTATATAAACAATGAGACGAATGGTCCATGTGAAATGAAATGAACTGTAGATTTGCAAACAAGCCCGAGGGCGCGGCCACGACAAACAGTCCGCCTTTTATAAATATGCAGATCAAATATTAAAAGGAACTCTCTAGAAATCCTGAGCACTGAATACAAACGAACTAAAAATATAAAATTATTTTCAATAGACTCCATCTCAAACGTTGATTCCCGCTTTTATTATAATATGGTGTGGCGATCTTTGAAGGCAGATTAAAAAAATTCTTATATGTACTGGAAAATTAGTTTTTATTAGCAGGAATGTTAATCAAGAGATCGAAAATGATATATAAACATATCACCTTGGAAAATATTCGTGAATTGAAGTATTAAGTATCAAGTTGATAGCTAGATCGCAACACAACACGAATCTATGAATCTCAGTTTGTAAATTCAAGTCATTCAGTACGTATAAACATTGTATCAAATTCCGTAGCATTGTCCATACGTTATTGAAGAGCAGACACACAAACAGTCCTCTGCTGGTCTACTCTACAGCATCTGAAGATAAATATTCAATGTTTTCATTCAATTTCTCGCGACCGCCGGCTCCCGTCGCTGCTCAAACACCGATAGAAACTTATTTCGTATTGACCCACGGAGGTCTTGTTGAATATTTTTATAAGCTCGCATATGAGATGGATTTTATTAATCTGGAGAGAACATTTATACGTTTATACTTTGAGAGCTTCAAGCTATTATCGATGAATCTCAGTTGAATTCAGATTTAATAAAAATTATTTAGATATCATTTTCACTTATTATTTTCGTTTGAGTTAAAATCGTTTTTAAATGAGATGAAAGTTATAAATTATATATATTAAAATATATTCGATATAATCGACAGCGTTCAAGCAAAATTAAACATTTTAAATAATTGAATTAATCGGCGTCCGATAAATAAGTACGACGATAAATTTCAATATCTGATTTGCGTATTCGTTGACAATAATATACATAATATTTAATATGCCGATCATATTTAAATAAACACAACTGATAATTTATATATAATACATATTATCAATAATTTCTTTTGTATCATCTTTATCATAGCAAAACACTATAAACATATAATTTTGTATTCAAATTTCTTTCTTCATAATTATGTAAGTTTAGTTATTCTTGAAAGCCAAGTTTTGTATCAAACAACTAGGTACTTATTTAAGAATTTACAAGCAATTATTTTTTATGAAACGTCTCAAGTGACATGACAACTGTCATTATAATAGCCACCTATAAAAACCGTATAAAACGATTGCCATGAAATGTATAATTTAACAGTTTACTATAGAATTTATAACATTATAAGTATATGCGAAATTAATAACTGAACCTAAAATTTCAATCGAGTAATCCTTGTTAAGATCCAAATATAAAATATATTAACAAAATTACTATTATTAAATTAATGTTATCGTAATTTCAATGAATCCAAGCCGTAACATAAATTACCAATAACGTCATTGCTCAGTAGTCAGTAGCTCGTATTGAGTCGGTCTCGTCTCGTTACTGAACGCTCCCCAATACTTTTTTGTATTATCATAATTATTCAATGGTTCGTTATCTGTGGGTGTCATTTGAAGGGATAATTTATATTATTTCCATATATCAGCTATATTTCAGTACTGTATGTGTTTTAATGCCGCATATTTAACATAAATTTAATAATTTCTATGTACATTGTACATAAAAATAGGATTAAAGTTTTATGGTTTGAAAGATTATTGCGAGAACACATTTAAATTAAATTATATTGTCTTATATGACTCACGTTTTTATTTTTATGCTTATTATTAGGACCTTTCATTTGTTTCTCAGTAATATGTGTCCATAATTCAGCCTTTGTACCATTTTTTTTTCTTTTCTTGTGTATATTGACTATACTATACGTTACATTTAATATACAAAAATATATTTTATAGATTGTATTCAATAAAATATGAGTTTCTTATTATACACCTTATCAAACAAAGTTTAAAGAAGCCCATCGCGATATCTGTTACGAAAAACATTTTACTTCAAAATACTTATAATGGGTTTGTTTTTGATATTTTAATGAGGTTTTTAAGATGGAAGAAATCATAAATATGAGTAAACAAGGGAGGACTGTTGTTTACAAATAATATCGAAAATGATTTATACAAACACGGCTACGAGTGTGTTAACATAGGACGTTTGTACAGCGGACAGATTGTGTAAGTAAACAATTTGTCTTCCTTTCCTTCAATTCACGTGAGCTTTGAATAACTATCGTTCATAAATCCGCCTGGTCAAGGCTTAAAACTTATCGGCATTGTCTTGAGAAAATGTAATCCTGAAATAGAACACTTTTTTCAATGGACATTTTAAACACATCGCTTTAGCTAATAATTTAAAAGTTAACAGGTGGTTCACCCTCTCTGAGTGACTGTAATATTTTCATGGATTTTTAAAAAATTTGTAATTTTTCAAAATAGCACTCATAGGTTTTGCTTGCTCTACTGATACCTAATATATTAAAGTATGTTAAAATTTTATTGTTTATTTTTATTTAAATTCCCGAATAATCATTGAACTTTATAATTATTATTAACCTTAATCAAATTTTATATAATTGAATTTACTTCACCGAACTTTGAGGACATTCAAATCATTTTGACGTACTTAATATACCTTGATTTAAAATGATTCTAAAATCTTTAAATAATCTGATTGCTGGCTCAATACTTTCAAATTAATGAGTAAAAACGATCCGTATCCTCTAGATATTATGAGATTGATACATTTTATTTTATTAAGGTGATAGAGCCCAGCTGTAGTCAGTTACTACAGCTCGAACATGTGCTGGCTCGACGGGGGAAGTACCACCCTCTCACAGAAGATCGGCGTGAAGTAGCCTTTAATGGCTGCGTTTCGTCCGATTTGATAGAGAAGTGGTTGCCCTTTTCCTTTTCCCATCCTTTCTTACCCTTTCCAATTTCCTATAAAGCCGTATCTGAATGATGTGGATTTTAAGTATGTCTCTCAGGAGGTAAGAAAACTGCTGTAACTAGGTTAGAAGGTAACTTGGATATCATACTTGTTAAGTTTGGCCAGTTAAGCTAGAGTTTGACTCCCGGATACGGATTTTTTTACATTTCTAATGTTATTTGTTTTGAGAAACAGTGAACGTTGACATAGTCTTTTAGGTTCTTTTTAATTTACTTCTTCTCATAAAAAAAAACTGCCGTTAGATTCCATCGTGAATGAAATAAAACACAAGTGATATTTAAATACAATGTATTATACAAAAGGAATCAATACAAATTACAATATAAAAACAATATTGCAGCATGTTCCGATGTTAGAATTTTCTGTTTGAGGTACAGTCTCATTTGTCTTTCAATGTTTACTGTTACTACCAGTTGTGTCCTACAAAATAGCTAAAGCCAGTGTTACCTAAGTATTTACAGTTTTCAAATACAAGTTGATGGTTGATACTTAATATTGCCATTACAACATTACATTATATTTCAGTATAATAATTAATTATAAACACTCATAAAAAATGTAACAATTATAGTGTATTATAACCAGTACGGCACGTTTTGAGGCAATGGATGTTTTTTTAAAAAGACTTCCTTTTAATGAACTTAAAAATTAAAATTGGCTAAGATGACGTTAATAGAAAAATATTTTTTTCGTTAATTTAAACGGAACTGTGGAGGTCAAATGAATAATTGTACAAAATATGTACATACATATGTATATCGTCGGAGATAGTGCAAATCCGCGTAACTACCATTGGATAATTCCGCGTATCTACAATTAAAGCAGATTATTATCAGAGGAAAGTTTGAGCTTAAAATATTATCTAAATTAACGACTTTTAAAGTAATTTTGTGACAATTAGTAATAAATTAAACACTAAATAATTATACTTATAATCTGCTTCCTAAGTAGATACGCGAAGTTATTTGTAATGTAATTTGTAGTTACGCGGATTTGCACTATCCCCGACGATTTGGGTTTTAATTTGTACATTATTTAATTTGTATATTTGTTTTAAAATATGCCTTATTAAAATTTTATCATATCTATTTATGTATAATGACAACCTGGGATAATTACTTAGAAACGGCCTTAAAGTTAAAATTTAAAAGCCTTAAATTTAGTTAATTTTTTCTTCAAACCTCTTTCGATCAGTTACGTACAACGGGATATCAAATAAAACTCCAAAGTCCAAAAGCAGTGACGTTTTTATTTTTTTAATCTTAGCATATCTACACGCAACTGTCGACTCTCTTTATTCTATATTAGATTGGTGACATCGGCTTCAAACTACACAATATATAAATATATATATGTCAAACGATTAAAAAATGTACATCTCTTAGTATTATTGCATTTAAAATCCTCCAGCGAGCTCCGTGAGTGTATCCAGGAGGTGTCGTTACGTTAGAGGAGCGGCGCGGGCGGGCCGATGTCACTCGTATGTCATACAAGACGGCGCGGCGTCCCGCGTCAGTGTAAGCACATCACAATAATAACTACATTCGAAGTTTATATTAAAAATCACAACGTCCTTTATCGTTCGTTACGAACACACACCGCTATAATATTTAGAATCAATCAGTTCGTTATCAAAATAAAGACACGTGCGCCAATTTGACGGCCAACAACCCGATATAAAACTTATAGCTAATAAACTTATTAAAAAAATTAAGATCTCGGCTCGAGGCGGCGAGGCGGGCGTGCGCGTGCGTTGTATGCGCACGCGCACGCCCGACTGCGCCGACACACGAGGCTATCGAAAACGTATTAACAAATGGGACAAATTAAATATAAAACAACAATTTTTATTATATATTTTTTGTTTTTTTTTTTACTAATTTTATATCCAAACGGTCCAGTCCGCGCTACGGACACACATGCCGTTCTCCGGCGACACAGCAGCGTCACCTAAGGCATCACCTGTGCGTAACGATTCAAAACGTTTTAAAGAAAATTGATTTTTATTTACATTATCGTACGATCTATAATAAATTCATTATTTATTGGTATATTTTACAATAACGCCTCCCCTAGCTCCCATCACCCCCGGCCCCGGCGCCGGTACACTAGAAACTAAATCCCTTATATTAATGACGTTTATAAAAGTCCACACGCCCTCGGGACCGTCCGGGTGTACACGTGTTACTAGTATATAATATTCAGTCCAATACATTGATTACGACACACAGGCAGACAGGAATATTGATACAGAGAAGATGAGTCGCCCCGAGGAAGACCGGACGACATACAGACGAGTTAAACATAGGGCTGTACACGAGCGACACCTGCAGGGAGACGTTGACTACATGAACACTGAGGAGGACCACACACCACCCTTCATATTATCCACGGATCGTAACATTTCGTTTATATTCATTCCCCAGGCCTCACACTCTGTTCCGGGGGAGCCACGGCCTCCCCGGCGAGGGGTCGGCGGCGGGCGGCGGGGACGCGGGGGTAGGGGCGTTCTCACGGGGCTCCGGGGTGAAGCCCGGCGGGGGACGGACGCTCCTCTGGGGGGAGCGGTACAGCTGGGCGCGGGGGTAGTACGGGGTCGGGTACACGGGCGGGGACACCGGCCGGGACGGGACGTGCGAGTACAGGTGGGGCTGAGAGGAGTACGGAGCGGAGTACGTGACACCCAGCCCAGGGGCCGGGTAGTGAGTGTGGGGCATCGGGGGGGCGGGGAGGAACGGACGGGGCGCGGGGGCGTGGCTGTACGACGGAGGGTACAGGTACGGGAAGGGTTGGCGGTAGGCCGGCGGGAGAGGAGAGTACTGAGACCCGAGGACGAGGGACGAGCACACGGCGCCCGGGACGAGCTGACGACGGTCCGGCAACATACAGAGAGGGGGCCGCGGGGCAGCGGGGACCTGCTGCGGACACAGAGAGAACCCGGGGGGCGGCGGGGGCGGGCGGGGGTCGGGGGCGGGGCGGGCCGGCGGTCAGCGGCGGAGTAGCGCGGGCAGGTCGGCGAAGGCGCAGGCTCCGAGCGAGGCGCGCGCCATGCGACGCAGGAGGTCGCGGGAGTGAGACACGCACGCCTCCACCGGCGACACCCACTGCATGCCGCGCCACTCTGCGGACACACGGATATTCGTCAAATACAAAGCGAGCGGCCGGGCCGGGCCGGACCCGCGGGCCTCACCCAGTATGGCGGAGTTGAGCGCCTCGCACACCGCCTCGCGCCGCACGGGCTCCAGCTGCCAGCCCACGGGACTGTCCCACGGGTTGCTGTACGCGAGCAGACTGAAAGCGTCCTGCAACACCAACAATGACATACTACATTATATTAAAATCCACATCATTTTCCACGTACATATTTCCAGCCATGTAAGTCAGTAGACCGACCTCGAGCATGGTCTTGTGGTACTGATCCTGGGTCAGCTTCTGGCTCATAGCGTACAGCTCCCGACCGAAGGCCAGCATACGCTCCACGGACGCGCGCGAACACACCTCGCTCTCTACAACATACAACACACGACTTAACATACACGTAGTAGTGATGATAAACATTAGTACGAGAACGGAATGACGGTGGACTTAGAACGAATCGAATGGTATGTTCGTTTGTATAGAGTGCAGTTATTCACTTTTGATGTCGAAAACTTGTGATCGTTGAATGTTGTGCGTCATTAATAATATAGATTATACACAGTCATAAAAACATACGTGATAATATTAATAATATAATATGCGAGTAATGTATCGACATGCACACCACACGTCACCACAGGTAACAGTCTTGTTAATCCATCCCATTGTTTCAAACGCTTGTTATAACATGCAAATATTTTCTAGGAACACTCTATATAAAGTAGACAGTATCTATAAATTGTTCAATTACTTAATATCTTCTCTTAACCTTACAGATTAATGAAAATTCTTTAAAACACACTTACAACCAGAAATGGTCTCTACCGGCCTAAAATATGGTGTTGAGATTTATATGAAAATATAGATTTAACGAATAGAATAGTTCCTCACAGATGTTTTTATAATTTAAAAGATGTTGCAAAAAATATATTCAATATACGAGCGACAGAAGCACAGAGACCGAAGCGTATTATGGACATACAGTTAGTATGTTAGCATTAAATTGATCACCATAAGCAAAATAGCAAAACAATAGCGAAATTGCAAAAAGTAATGATTCAAGGAACACGACACAAAGTATGAGTCAAGAATAATATAAAAATTCCAAAAAAATAGTAAAAGGAAAACTATTGATAACAGAATAAACGAACACGATACATAGGCAAGGGAAACGACTTGTGATGTGAGAAATTATTGAAATAACATGAAATTAACTTATAAGATATGCAAAGAAATAGGTGGTACCATCACAGGAGAAACAATACAGTAAATATTAGACGAACAAATTTGGAGTTTAGGAAACAAATGTGATATACAAGAAGAAACAGATATGAATATATGATGAAAAACACTAAACAATACGTCAACTGAGGAGAAAAACAAGTTACTAAGATACTCGTTTATGTGTTAGCGATGAGAGGTCTCCTAGGAACAGATAATGTCCATTTAACAAAAAACATCAATAATGAAACCTTACTTCGCATAAGAAGAATGTTCGTGTTTGAATAGAAAATGAAAGTATACCACATAGAGTTGCTTATGCAGAATAGGAATATAAATACAATGGTGAAATGGAAATTAATCAAGAAATTCGGTACGTCTGCTACTAACCAGTTCTCATAACCAAAGGTATTACCAGTTTATAGCAAGAACTACCTTTTAATCTCCACTATATTTATCATCTCACTGAGCTTTCACATAGGAAGCACACAGTTTAGACGACATCGTTATGAAAGAGTTTTAAGTACCCTTTAAAATAACTTTATTGTTCAAGAAAGTCCCGAAGTTTTTGAAGGGAAAGTTATTATTTCAGTATCTGACACTTCTTAACTGACTATGTTGTTATATGATGCTATTATTTAAACCTATTAGATCGAGTTCGAAACTCGTGTATTCTATTCATTTCTGGTCTTTGTTAGAAAAACACATCTGCCTTTCTCTGGACACCGCTGGAATTACACTTTCGTTTATGGTCCAATAGCAGCTAATTTTTTCTTTCACACTTTTCGGGGTTTTCAAGTATATCTATCTACATGGGAATACCATAATTCATTCAAGACAAATAACTTTTGTGAATAATTATTTCCTATTAATAGTTATTATTATTTAGTTAAACGTGTTCAAATGAGTTATTCTAGTCTGTGATTTCTTTATTATTAATTGTGTATTCAATATGCTTCAGTATAAAACCGCAAAATACAAAGCCCTCAGTGGAATGTAGTTTGAAATAAATAAAATTAACTCGAACGGTGGACTACAGGCTACAAAACAGAGGATTAGTGACGTTCAGAGATTCTGAGAAGCACAAACATGGAAGGTGAAGATACAAGGAACCAATGAACTGATGGAGGGGTGGACTCGTGTGAGTGAAGGGTGCGAGGGTGCGAGGGTGCGAGGGTGTGAGGGTGAGGGTCCGTACGCACCGGCAGCCGGCCAGAGCGCGGCGACGCTCGCCGTGACGCCGGGCATGCCCTTCACCGGCAGCGCGCCACCTACAACCGGCCAACTATACCAGCCCCGCACACAGGAAGCGCGATGTACTCAGCGCATACCAACATACACTGGACACTGTGTTGCAGCTTGTATGAGCACATCGCGATTACTGCTATAAGCCTTTCGTCGGATCAGACAAGCTGTTCTAGAACATGGCCTTACAGCCCAGATGATCGAAAACAAGCGTAGCGACTATGCGTGGGATGCTGTCTACCGGGATAAGGGACGGATGGAGGGGAACTAGCATGCTAAACTAAAACCAGTTAAGCGTGACCTCCGTACGTTAGTAACGGCTTCTATATCAGAGATCAGGATGTCAGTAACGTTAGGATAACATCACTTAAATATATCACACTTTGCATGACATCACGAGGCTCCCTGTGAGATCGTTTCTCATGAAGCCAACCAAAATCTTCGTCAATCATAGACCACGTGTTCTTTACTAGTGTATTTTTTTCATACATTTTCGTTAGTACAGAACTGTACTGACTTAACTAAAAAAATCGTATAACAGTTAGTGTTCTCAGTATTATCTCGAATGGGATGGCGTTAGTGTGACCGTTGTATATAATAAAATATAAGGCAACTAAAAGCGAGAAGCTCTGTGATGTATATAATAATATAAAAAATAAACATGGGATGGAATGATGCAAATAATAGATAAACATGAATCATATAGATCAAAACAAATTAAATATTCATATATAAAGAAACGAACTGCAAATATAATAATTATAAAATAATACTAAAATGTCTTATATTAATATAAAATCAATTTTCCTAATACATTTAAATTTTATATCAATGTGGTTGATATACAAAATACTGAAAAACAAAAATAATAATATATAGATGGCGCCATACTAAAATATATTTATATATATTTGTGATACAATATTTGATAAACAATATATATACATAAGGGCAGACCCATATATGTATTTAAATAAAATTGTTCACTTTACAATATAAGTACACTTTTATCTTACTCACTCTGTAACCTTTTATTTTAAGTAAAAATCCATTTCTATTTTATCAAGGCATATATTGAACCAACTTTTGCCCGCGACTTCGTCCAAGTGGAAGTTAATTTCATTAAATTAATTATAATATGTTATTTCTGGCATAAAACCTGTCATTCTCTTGACACAGTTTATGCAAAATAATAAATACAAATATCAATAATTAGGTGTTTGTAGTAACAAACAGGCAAACGTACTCGGGCTCGCGTGTACGTTATATTAGTCATAGTATGGACACGCCACACGTCCTGGACTCAACCCTATAGTATGGTAATGTGTGACGTCATTATATAAAGAGTCATACCGTCGTGAGTGCCGTTGGCTGCGGGCATGTCCACGTCATGTCTATCGGCTTCGGGCAGCACCACGCCTGTAAGAATGATAAATACACTTTGTTATACATTTATTTAAATTCACTGGAGTCGACTATGGCCATGGAGGTATTTTTTTTTATTTGAGTTTACAAAACTAACTTACAACTAGTGCATACATAATAAAAACTAAGCTAAACAGAGTGTCATTAAGTTGCAGTCTTCAGGATGTAAACCTAGCATGCTTTAAAAAACATATACCTTGCTTAGTTTACAAGAACAGTACTTGTGTAATTACTGACTAGTTAATTATTTGATTATTACATAAAATAATGTGATTTTGTTTTAAGTTTATTTTTAAGAGAACCAACACATTCACTGAAGACATCTAGGTGTTGACGACTACAATTCCCAAGCGAGCAAATACGGAAAACTGGCGAATGTTGACCAAGATTTGATTTGACATCAAGCAGGCTAAATATTTTACCATTTTGTAAACGGCTACCTTGACGCGGAATGTAGAAACTGATTTTAGCAAGTAGATCAGGTGCATCAATATATCCATGCAATAATTTGTATAAAAAAGTAAGTCGGCAGCTTCTCTAATATATTTAAGAGTTTGCATTTTATAATTAATTAGGCGTGCGTCGTAAGAATTAAAATTCTTTGCATTTAGATCTGTGTACGCTAAGTAATATAGAAAACATTTTAGTACACGTTCTAATTTATTAGAGTGCACCTCATACCCAGGACTCCAAGCAACTGAACATTATTCTAGGATACTCCTTATTATACTATTGTATACTAATATTGTCAAGCTTGGATCCTTAAAGATTTTCATTAATCTTAACCAGTGGCGGCCGGTGGGTAAGCGAACCGGTGGTGCACTTTACTAAAATATTAAAATTAGAAAATGCAACAAAACATAACGAGATGTCAATCACGTCTCAATTCGTCATACATCGGGTGCTCTCGGTAATCTTCGGCCGCTCGTGCGGCGCCCGAGAACCGACTCATCACTCGGTACATTTCTATGAAGTATCTTTTGTTTCACGCGTCAGGCGTATTAATGCGTATCTCATACAAGATGTATTAGGTGTCCTCGTGCGCTTCGGCGAGCGCACGAGATATTAGTTTAGTAAAGCGCTCAAACATTTTGACCATAATTAGTCCAGTCATTTAAGCTTAAATTAGGTAAGAATCTCGGAATTCGAGATACCCAGCTGTAAGTCTGTAAATAGTTGTATATTGACACCCTAAAAGTTGTCTCAAAACCTACATATGGTAGGGTGTAAGCAACTATTAAATTTCAAGTTCAAAGGTTACAAAAATCGGTTTTTTGCGCTTTTTTTTGGAAATATCTCATTTCCTATGGGTTTTTTGCTATTTGTATTTATTATCAATATTGTAGAATACTAAATTCTCTACAAATTTTGTTTCAAAAAATTTTTTATGCGGTGTACCGTTTTCGAGATAAAGGGAGGAGAGCGCGGTCACCGCATCACTTCAGGTCAACCGGTGCCTCCGGTCGAAAACGCGCCATATAAAGTTGATGAACTATCAATAAATCAATGATTATAAATATTTGTCAATTTTTATTAACTATTTTATTATATTTTATAATTTTTTTCCTAACTTATCCACTTTTTATTCAGTATTAATTTATTTAACAACACTTACCTGTCCATGTAATTGCAGAATTCTCTAATAATAAATAATAATTGCTGCTGCAGCTTCTACAATTCTTAGCCTTTCTGCTTCAGGATCTATTTTTTTACTTTCGTACCAAGCTTTTGATAGAATATTAGCTTGTGCATCACGGAAAGAAATGATCGTGAAAGCTCCAACTTCCTTCGTAATTATGATATCGGTTAAGTACTTCTGTTGTAGTCTTGTAATGATAGTTTTATCATCTGGCACATACCCTGTCAAGACATTTTTAAGCTCTTTTAGTGTGAATTGAGAATCATTATTATTTTCGATGTAATTGAAAATCTCTCACATAGCTTCTGTAACTTGATTATCTTGACGAGGTGTCTCAAGAGGCGATGATGATGATGATTTATTTGAAAAGTTTGTAAAACAAGCAGCATGGTACTTCGCTTTAGTAGCGATCAAATCAAACTGTAAAATTATACGACTTTTCACCAATTCTCCAAAATCATCCCCACGTTTTTCTGCTTTTTTGAAAATTGACAAATTGTATTTATAATCATTGATTTATTGATAGTTCATCAACTTTATATGGCGCGTTTTCGACCGGAGGCACCGGTTGACCTGAAGTGATGCGGTGGCCGCGCGCTCTCCGCCCTCTATCTCGAAAACGGTACACCGTATAAAAAAATTTTTGAAACAAAATTTGTAGAGAATTTAGTATTCTACAATATTGATAATAAATACAAATAGCAAAAAACCCATAGGAAATGAGATATTTCCAAAAAAAAGCAAAAAAAAACCGATTTTTGTGACCTTTGAACTTGAAATTTAATAGTTGCTTACACCCTACCTTATGTAGGTTTTGAGACAACTTTTAGGGTGTCAATATACAACTATTTACAGACTTACAGCTGGGTATCTCGAATTCCGAGGTGAACTTACTATAATGACTGGACTATAATTAGGAAATTTAATTTTTAAGAGGTTTTTATATGTTTTAAAAATAATTATTAAAATGGTAATTTAAAATAAAGATGAAGTAATATTTTGTAATTTTTAAATCTTTTGAATTGGTGGTTCAGTGCACTTAAGGTACAGCCGCCACTGATCTTAACACCAGACCAGATACTTGCGAGGCTTTTGATATGATGGAATCAATGTGATCTCTAAAGCTTAAGGTGTTATCTATTATCACCCCGAGATCCCTAACACTCATTGATTCCGTAAGGGGCGTAGGTACTGTCAATTAGTAAGTGTGTTTTAGTGGTTTTCGTTTTCTACTAAATTTAATATGAACACATTTATCCTTATTTAGAGTCATACGATTTGCAAGCCACCAACAAACAAGGTTGTCGATGTCAATTTGTAGGATTTCAATATCCTCTGGTGATTTAATTTCCCTGTATATTTTTAAATCATCTGCGAATATTTGATATTTGGTATCGTGAATATATCCTTGAACAAACAGTGCAAGACATTTAATTGACTCCTATCCAGAGAAGAATGTCCCAGGACCTATTCCCTGCATATATTATTATTATTAGAATTCGACCAACGATTTAAGGTGGCAATGAAATTACGTGGAAGTATTCGCTACCTGAGTTGAGGAACAAGTTGGGAGCAGACGTTGATAGTCATCTTACTGATATCTAAATCGATATTGAATATACTTAAGAAAACGGTTCACTATAATACATGCAAGTATGTGGAAACAGGTTGCATTGAGCATCGAAGAAAAACATATCAGCGACGCGTAGTGCTAAGAAGAAGGTTTACGGAACGCCATGTCAAAGAAAAATAAGCTAATTTTTAATACGAAATATATACAGGGTGACTGGTGAATTACTATCGATATTTAAGGAGGATACTCGGTACATGATTCTCATTCGAATTATGTAAAAAAAAATAGGCACTTAATTTTTGACAAAATTTCCGTATAAATAAATAAAGTGTTGACACGTTCCAAGTGTTCCAAGTGTGAACGCGTGCGGCGGCGTGCTGATACAACACTACGCCGCCGCGCGCGTATGTGTGAGTGTGTGTGTATACCTAATCTGTAGGGTGTTCACACGATGCGTAATTAATTACATAACTTTTGGTTAACTTTACTCAGAAGTTTATTAATATTTATGTTATATTAATTTTTATTTTGTCATATATGATCGTCAAATATCACGTCCTCAAGTATCGATAGTAATTCACCAGTCACCCTGTATATGACACAAGAAAAGCGCCAGGAAAACTGTTTTTATTTAATTAACTGTCTAGGAGGTAACTAGCTTTGGTGACAGACAGGTTATAACATGTTAATAGTGTCTTTACAGTTTAACTTCCGAATTTGATTGGAGTCACGAGTGTCCTTAACTCATTGAAGATAGAAAACGACTAGATTCTTATTGAGGCGTTAAAGATTAACCCTCAGGTTGACAGACTTCATTAAAAACATCTTTGGATAAATATGTATCTACAAAGTGGTGAGGGAGTATTGTAGTGGAATGAGGAACAATTAAGATGACATGAGAGACATAATAATAAAAGTAATAATCGACAAACTCCATGGTCAATGGAGGAGCGTGCGTGTGATTCAATGTATGAGGTCCTCACCGTTAGTGTGCGCGTGTTCCCCGTTGGCGGGCGCGCGGCTCGTATGCGAGATCACAGAGGTGGTGAGGTCATTGCCCCCGGCGGCCCCGTCCCCCTCCCCCGCCGCTCCCTCCCCCACTATCCCCTCCCCCGTCCCGGCCTGGTCCGGGTCGTCGCACAGCGCGTCCGTGCCGTTCACCATTTCTACAAACTGCCTGCACTTGAGCAGGAACACCAGCTCGGGGTCCCTCTCCAACAGGCCGGGGTACAACCGCCGGGACAACTCCACCGCCTCACCGATACGACCTGACAACACTAGCTTCGATATCCCTGGAACATATACCAATTATACGAGTTATTTTCACGCGAGTGAGTTAATCGAAGGAAGTCTTCTCTCAAGGGTATCAAGTTAATGTATATGTTAGTCATACGTTGTCTATTTTTGATAGAGGCGATGTCCTCGTCGATGGTCTGTCCCGTGGCGCGGGAGAAGGCCTGCGCCGTGCTGCAGTACCCGTGATGCACCAGGTACGACGACACCATCCTGACACACGACCTCGTTAGTGGAGCTTTGATACATATTAAGGGGCACAGAACCACCCCAATACTTACATTAGTCATTATTACATATTATTCTATACCTGTGCAGTACTTGCTGCCACTGCCCCTGCTCGGTGGGCAGAGGGAAGTCGTCTATGGCGAGTCTGGTCCGCGCGCGCAGTTCCCTCAACATGTCCTCGATGTCGAACACGAAAGGCTGCTGGCCGAAGTTGGCGTCCACCACCTCGCCTGGCGTCTGTAGACCCACCGTGGGGTACAGGTTCGGCTGGAAACGATATCACGATACACTGGCTTAGTTCAACTGATATATAAGTAATCCTTAACTCTTGGCCTTACAATATGTGTGGTCTTTAAGGTAAGAGTGACCAGGATACTGAATTTACCCCCCTCATAATTATGGTCAAGCACTACGAAGTTTTCAGTTAGAACATATCTTTATATATATAATTCTTCTGTGAGTGTGTATGCACTGAACTTTTCTCAAACGACTGGACCGATTTTGATGAAATTTTTTGTGTGTGTTCAAGGGGATCTGGGAATAGTTTAGATTCACAATTTTGTCCGCTGGACAATGTTTTTTTAATTAATTTTTAATTTATTAGTAGTTGTTAACACAAACGTTTTTTTTTAACATTAGATTTGACAACTAACGAATATGTCAATCATTCTGTCACACTTCAAAACATGGAGATTTATGGCTTTAACAGGTAAACTCCAAAATATAAATAAAAATAAGTAACAGATATTTCTTGATTATAGGGCGACACGAAGTTCGTCGGGTCTTCTAGTATAGTATATTTTCTGACCGGCAATCCCCTGAAGGCGATCCCCAGGTGGTGTCCGTTCTTGGTGTAGAAGCATGTGTTGTCGACCAGGTTGACGCCGCATCCTATGACGTCACCGGTGGTGAAGGTCGGCCCGTACGGCTGGCCCGTCCCGGACGAACAGAACGAGTGGCCGTCATCACCGTGGTAGCCGTACGAGTGCTTGTCCCAACCTTGACAACATAACGAATAATATGTATAGAAAACTACCTTTTATTTCCATAGGACATGACTTTTAGCGATCTGAATTTAACTTATGAGAAGGTTTCCATGATTCAGTGACTAGTTATTTGATTCTGAAGTAACAAACTACCAAAATAAACTGTTTTAAGATGTTCAGTACCAGGTAGCCGGTTCATGTTGACTCCGTGAGCCGAGAGCCCTATCCCCATGTATCCGTCGCGGCCCTTTGACACGATCCGCACCTCGAAGTAGTAGAGGCCACAGGCGGCCGGGATGGGATGGGTCGCGCGCACACTCGCCGCGTCCTTGTGGGTCTTACCATGACCTGGAACACGACATGCAACATACATACATACACACACACACACATACACACGTGTGTGAGTGTGAAACACTAGCCCGTGTCTCATATGTACTTTGCATTTAATAATACATTATTCAATCACGCGGTGATAAGAGCTGCGTGTGATAACAGAAGCTATTAATAGTAATATAATAGACGTGTGAGCAGGAACCGTTAAATAAAATAACGGATGTGTCGGTGAGGAGAGTCGCGGGAAGAAACTTGTATTGAAATATATACAACACAGTACAATAAACGGGACGTAATACATGGAGCGTAGAGCGATGATGATATTGGAAACAAAGGAACAATACATTCTTCATTACTATTTTACACATGAACCTAGTTTTAACATTTTACTAAGATACGATAATTAAAACTTATATTACTATGCACAATTATTTACATACATTGTCATATTTAAATAGAGCGACTGTTAGAAACGGTGACATCTGTGAGTCTGTTTCCATAACAGCTGACATATATTAATTGATGGATTTGACATTGACACACATCACGTACCACTGTATGGCAAGCGAAGCCTGGTTTAGCGTGTAGTGTTTGAAACGAACCTCTGTGTACTCATTTATTAGTGTAACAGTTCAGTGTGAGTAAACCAAAACTTGTAACATGATATACAAACAACATGAATCCGTAGTATTAACAGGGATCGAGTTAAACGAACTTATTGAGTAACATAAATCTTCATGCTATACATATTTATGAGTGGAAAACAAATTAAAATTGGTATTTATATCAGGTTTGCTTAAATGTTAAAAACATAAATATAAATATGTACAAGCCAAATGCGCATTAACAAAGCGTGGCAATGTGTTAAATGTTAATGACCTCACAATCAAAATATAAACTAGCCTTATACAAGAACGTGTATATTAATATTTTCGTTTCGTTTCCGTTAAGTTGATGTTTTATTCCGGGTGGGATCGTCCTCTCCGTAGTATGTGTGTATGTATGTGTGTATATTTTAATATCTCACAAGGATTCCTCGCCGCGACCCGTTTGTCTGCGCGTGCGCAGGTTAACGGACCACGTGTTGATACAACACAAATAACACGAACATCGCGAGCACGGCTCGCCGTACGATATATTAATAATAATTGACTCACTTTAATCGATTAAAAAAACTTTTTTTTGGCGAATATTTAAATGAAGTTTCTAGTACATGTTATATACTTGCACTAATGTACATAATTAAGATTTTTGACAAGTTATTTGTGTATTTAGTAAAAATGGTCCTGTCGTTTTAATAAAGAAAGTAGTCTGACGGCTCAAGATTGCAACTTTCAGATCTTGCGTAAACTCTTATTTTTGGTACACAAACTGAATGAAATTATACGATCAGCTCGCTGAGTTAACTAATTTTTTTAATAAATGTATTATTATCATTTTGTTTCTCGATATTTCAGAGAGATTCGCTCAGTGAATCTACTGAGTTTCATTAATTTTCATGAATTGTCTTCCACATCCAAACATTGCTTTTTATATATTTGTTTAGAGATATTCATCAAAATTGTTTTTTTTACACAAGATTCAAACATATGAAACTTAAGCTTTACTTTTGTTATTAAATTGACGCTGTTTCCCTGGAAACTCAGATTCTTTATCTTTGTTCTTTCATTATATTAATGTTACAGCCATTAAAAATACCAACGTAAATATTTTTTTACCCTTTATTTCCACAAGCGTGAAACATTGTATTAAACCACAATATTTTTGTCTGTGTTTCATACATATCAAATATAAATTCAGAACAAATATTATATACTCTCGAGCTTGTATATTTTTTGTAAATTAATTATTGTTTTCGTTTCACAGCGATGCATCCGCGGGCGGAGACTTCTGAATAACGTTTCGCAAGTCTAAATATTTGAAGGTCGCTTTCATACAATAACCTTATACGATAAATATAAGTAATATTAATTTTACACAAGAGCAACCTAACTATAACATGTATCTTATTTTTCTATACTCGTCAGTGGACGTAGTAAGAACGAAACCATATAAGATGAACGTTCATTTAGTGTAGTGATTATTTTTAAATGAATTTTATTATAAAATGAAAAATTCATTCATAGATTGAATCTGGACACGAATGCTCAATGCTCAATTGGTAAATCAAGTACCTAAAACTCAATTACCCGGAGCTAGCACGTTTAGACCTTGTTCTTATCAATGAATTTTTCATTATCTATGTTCTAATATAAATTATTTCAATATTACTTCAATATCTTAATGTTAAAAAACAAATATAGAGAACTTAATCATAATCGACCCACCACACGTCACATCGTATTTAAATAATAATCCAAATATATTGTATTCTAGTACGTATATATTACTAAAATACATGTATACTTCAAAGACGAGTAAACTGTAAGATTAAAACACATAAACATTGCACTAGTATACAATGTTACTTCATCTGTGACAGACAGACATCAGCTTGTTGATATTAACATCTTAATGTGAGATGACTGACGCGCTTGTGAATAATTAAAATTAACCCAAACCGTTTCGTTGGAGTTTGGAACAAATGCACAGTAACTGAACATTCATAGAAATATAGTTGTATATATACTGAGACCGAATTAGAGTAGTCGTTTGGCCTTTATGCCATTTGTTGGCCATTCGTTAAACGTTTATGGCCATTGGTTGGTAGTAACATGGCCATTCGTTGGCTGAACGGCGTTGACATCAAAGACCGTTATGTTGTTGATATACGAGTCAACCGTGATATTTATAGTAAGGATTGTACTATGTTCTACTATATACTGGTTTATTAACAATATTCGATGATGTTAAAATGATAATTTACATTTAACAATCAATGAAAAACGATTTTGTTCGAGAAAGTACACGTTAAAGGTTCGCTTTAACGACTTGTTGCTATGGAAAATGAAATCAAATATACAGTTGGCAAGATCACAAATCATATGATGATAAACCATATAGTTGCATGTAATATACATATAAAATATAGTTTATAATATAATAATATTATTGAAATTACAAACAAGTTATTAAATTACTATGGAAAACTCAAATTATATACGCAATTAAGAAATTAAATAGGTAGTGTTATTAATGAGACTTAAAATATTTTGGGAACAAATTAAATGTAAGTAGAAATAAAAATGGTATTAAAATTCGCACAACAGCATTTTTATAACTAAGAATAAGAAACCAATGATAATAGGAAATGTTAGACTTAGTACGAGTTTGCATCGTCATACTACATACGATGCGTTTTGCGTTTCTCACTCGATGACCTACGCTAGTGATACCTTTGAATATTGATGTATATAAAAGTATTTACGCTTGTACATAGAGTGACGATGCAAACTTAGAGTAAGATATAGGAAAAACACTTAACTTATAATATACATCGATATAAGAACATCCAAAAAGTAAAAACCACAAGTATATGTTTAATATTCTTTGTTGGTATCTGTATCTTTAATTACACGCGTTACATTTGCTCTACATATTATGAACAGCTCTGTTGTAAGGTTTCAAGTCACTCGCTTCTTATTAAGATCACTGAGATAGTTACGTCTGAACAACGGATTATATTTAACACTATATAAATTCTTAACATATATTTATTATATGTTCTTTGCAAATTAATAATATTTCAAAGAGACTATACTGTAAAAATAAGTAGTAATTCTTAATTCATTACAAATACAAACTAATACAATAGATATTCCAAGCGTATTTGTGAAAGCGATTCCGTTAAAGTGATAAATATTCTTTGAAATGAAAACAACAATGTGATATAAAAAGCATGCTATACCTGATCACAAGAAAATAAATAGTTTCCATCTACACAATAGTTGTGTTACTCAGCGATAGTGTTATGGGTATACAAAACATTAGCCTAAGAAGACAGCGTGATCATAAATCAACAGAGGTCTCACAATATATTTATACTTATAAACGTATATATAACTTTGAGTACAAACGTTCAAGGAAACTCTTGTGAAAGGACATGCAACACCTCGGTTAAATTTAATACGTAGTCAGGGAGCATCTCAAACATTAAGATAATCCAGTGGAACAGAGCTGGTGAACTTATGAAGAGAATGAACATTGGATTACCGAGCATACTTCAATGAAGACTTTCTCAATATATAGTTCATCACAGAACAATGATGGCATGACGCTAATATAACCGAAGCTGATACAATGTAAGGTAAAGTTCACGAGCCCTGCCCCGTGAGGAGCTTATTCCATGTGTATAGTAAACGTACGATACATCCAGAGTCGTAAGTGGAGGTAGGGCAGGTGGGGTCTGCGGCCGGGACCCTGCGCCCCACCTTATAACAGATAAACAAAAATCCAGATCCATTAAAACAGTTCCACAGTCCGCGCCCCATACACCACTTACGCGTCTGGCTGCTCGACTCTACTCCTCGCACATCCAATCTCCAACGAATTTTAGCGTAAACATTTTAGTATGTACAGAAACAGCGTTAGGTTATATCGAATAGCTGGTGTATAAGCTTTGGCAGTAGCGGTGGTGATGAGGGATGCGTCGTCAACACGCCGTGCGACATCCTACTGGGAGCTACCGGCGACCGAGCGTCAAGAGCATAGTGGTGCCATGGAGCCGACTTCATTAATGGCTACGATTATAACTATACTATACATATTACTACTTCTACGATACAGCAGACTTATTGACATATAATTTAACAAGTGCCAACCCTAATACGATACAATATTTAATTGACATCAAAGAGAAAAATTACAAAATCATAAAGTCTCCCCTCAATAGAACATTTCTGGTAAATATGTATAATGAAAGTATCAAAACCGAATATTCAGACTTGGTCAGGTAATCTGCATGATTATTGAACCAGGTTTTATTTATTGAAGACAGTATCAGCTTATCGTATTATTATAATAAACTAGCTTTCCGTCCGCAGCTTCACCCGCGTGGTTTTCGGTTATATCGCGTTTCCAAGAGAACCTTTCAAAAGTCTGGGATAAAACCTATCCTATGTTCTTTCTCAAGGTCAACTCTGTCTGTACCAAATTTCATTGAAATCAGTTCAGTGGTTTAGGCGTGAAAGCGTAACAGATAGACAGACAGACAGAGTTACTTTCGCATTTATAATATTAGTAGGGATGTATAATATGAACTGCACCATCTCTGTTGGAGACAGCTGGGTATAGTGACCTGTCATAATAACATGGCTACAGTCACATGTAGCCTCCGTATATACCACTATGTATTTTATTTAAATGTAATATTATACTTAAGATTTAGTTCTAGACTCAACGTAAACTATATATGTAAGATTTTTATTATAATTTTCCAAGTCCTGTATAATGAAAAAAACTGGCTTTCCCCTGAGAATTCTACAGCACTCAGCAGTTTATTTTATGACAGTACTATTACTTTTATAACGAAGTAAAACATTGCTTTTTCATCGGTCTACTTGTTTAATTATCTCTTGATTTTTAACATGACCAATAACTTGTAAATACAAAGCAATTTTATGTATGTATTTTTAATATGTACTCAAATATTACGAAGTCATTTATTTACAAGAAAATCATAAATAAGACTTGCACACAATTAATTCGTTCATGGAATTATAACTGACAATCAAGAAACATTAGGATTTATGCGTATTATAAGTGTCTACGTAAAATATATTTCTCATATGTTTGGCTCCTATTAGCCATACTTATCAGACCCCAAACACATTTCATAATATCTACCATCATAGTTTTCTGGTTATAAGTTTGATATTAGTTCTCTCCACTCAGTAATGAAAATAATCAAAATAATAAAAGATTGGAATCACGTGATTCACATCGGAGAGAATAATCAAGTATTAATAAAATTAGTATATTATTATATAATAAGTTATAGTATATACGTTTCGTAATAAAATGTAGATTTCTCACAGGACAGTTTCCTTCAAATTCAAGAAGTTATAATCGTAAATTCCAGCCCTAATAGACATAAAATTATTTATTATACAATATTATACTGAATTTTATGATTTACTATAATTGAAGAGCATATTATTATACAAGAAAGTCTCTTTAAAATTGACACATGGCGAAATATCTGTGGTTTATAAAGATACTAGTTTTCGCCGGCAAATTCGTCTGGTACTTTGAGAATTAGGAATGTATATGTTTACGGTCGCACTCTGTTTCTCCTTAAAAGCAGTAAATAAGAGGATTTTGGATTTTTTCATCATATTTTTTTACGGTCAGACAAAAGGTATAACCTTTCCTTTGTACTAAGTTATCTCTCCTTCAGTTTTCAGCCAAACCCGTACAACCGTCCTTGAGTTATTAATAGTGTAACTAATATGACTTCTTTTTATATATAAAGATTGATCGAGATCAGTAGTTGTTCTCCTGTCAAAACTGAATAGATTAAAAGTAAGAATAAATAAAAATAAAGACACATTCTCATGTAATATAACGTTTTTACGAGCACTTCTAGATCAGTCACATGTCACTTATACGATTTGATATCGCAAACAAAACGGACAAAGCAACAGGTATAGTTAGTTCAACATTTAATGAATACAAAGTAGTCTTAGAAAGAATTGGACACAATTCAAAATAATTATATGAAATAATCACTTTTAAAATATACCATTAATACAAGCATAATGAGGTATAATATTTTTAAGGCCATACACGTATTATGTATTTCGTATTTATATACTTTATCAGACGTAGGTGTATGATCCCGATGAATGAAAATTGAATATCGATATAAGAAGAGAACGTCATAAAATATAATATGAGAAACATTTCTCATGGCTCAAAGAACATTTCGTTCACGCCATTAAGTCACAGGCAACACCAAGCAAAACGACTTTCACTATTACAAGCGATTTACCTTCGAACTTACATAACATAATAACATATAGTCATTACAATTAAATTGCATATATGGAGAAAGTTAAACATATAGATTCAAGGACCTGAGACAGAACAGTTGGTATTCAAGAAAATACATTTCTCAGTGTAAGCGATGTCATCATTTTCATGTTATTTCACGTAAATTCTGGATCTATAGGGATGCTTCAATTGTAGTGAGAACAAAGTCTGTATGGATCTGAATATTGGACAATAACAACATAACATTACATCCCACAGACCGTTACTAACTGAGCACTCACAAATAAACAGTTAGTGATAGTTTTACGCCAGGTGATAGCACACACGCGAAAAGCGACCTTAACATCAATGGATAGTATTCAGTGTTAAATGTACACGAGCGCATCCGAGCAAACTTGGACCGTATTACGTGAGGTTAGAGTGCAAATATTGTTTTAAGATGTGGGAGGTACACGTGGCGGGCTTGACCTAGTTGGTAGATGCACCATTTCGGTCTCATTTCATGAGGCAGGCCCTTCGCCGCCCACTCTTTGTACGATACATTTAATATTAGACCGCCTTCGAGTTTCATTGCATAGAGTCCACGGAAACGAGATTATAGATAATGAGGAATGAAAGAATAACATCCAGAGGTTAGTGCTGGCGACCAGCCAGGAGCATATTATATAAACTGTTCAAGACTAAAACTGGTGTGGCTGATAGGACTGGTGAAACAGAATGTAGACACTAGAAACAGAGGACACATCCCTACTAATATTATAAATGCGAAAGTAGCTCTGTCTATCTGTCTGTCTGTTACGCTATCACGCCTAAACCACTGAACTGATTTTAATGAAATTTGGTACAAACAGAGTTGACCTTGAGAAAGAACATAGGATAGTTTTTATCCCAGACTTTTGAAAGGTTCTCTTAAAAAGGCGATATAACCGAACTCCACGCGGGCGAAAAGCTAGTAGCATAATAAATATTCATCGTGATTATTATCGAATACAAATTGTAATAGAAATTATAAAAAAAAATCATCGTCACGAGCAGAATTCGAATCTGTGAGTTCTGAAATATAGCATTCCAGTCGCTTTGTTATCTAAGCTATCGTGCTTGACTATCAAATGTTCAAACTAAATATTAAATATTCATAATCAATTCATAAACCAGACGGCGGATATAAAAATGAAATTTTCGTTTGACTAATATTCATTTTATGATTATAATCGTAAAAGAGAAAGTGCATTTATGTCTGTATAAATAAATGTTAAATTGACATCCTTGACTGATGTATAAAACAACACAAATCAATATGATATATCAGCCGTGTAGAAAGAACGGGGATTGCAACAGACCGCGCTCAGAAAGACTTACGAATATTCCAACCTACTTATATTTGAGTAAACATATTTTTATGACAATTTAATTTGACACAACAAATGTTCATTTAACACACATTTTTTGGTATAAATGCATAAAAAACTGCAAAGTTGCACGAATAGATATACCTAAGAATCCGTAGCAAATAAAAGACCCTGCAAAATAATTTGCATATGAACCCTTGCCTGATTTATCAGCACAACCTCGCTATACTTATTCTTTTAATCTTATTTACTCGCTATTTCATATATCGTACAGATATTATCATATCATATTTCTATCATAAATGGCTTAAATCATAAACTGTAGAGCATTTTTTACTCAAGACAATAGTCTCACAAAACCCAATCATCAATCAATTAACACCCAAAATCCGAATTTGAAACAATTGACCGACTTATATATACTAAGAAAAATTAAATACATAACCCTCTTTCTTCGGCTTAGCAACAGTCGAGCAACAAGAAAACAGCAATAAAATGACAAATAAAACCTTGGTTGTTTCGACCCGGGCTAGATCCACGCTACAGTACTAGAAGGCACTCGTTACCAATCAATATACCATCGAATAACTCTCACGGACCTTGTTACGATTCTGATTAGAAAACAAACGAATAAAAATACGTGCAAATACTATTATATGTATCGGATTTTTTACAAATTCGTTCTTTTTAAAGAGACGCCAGCCTCGCTGACATCACTAATATCACTTCTTTCAGTACGTTCCGTGATATTTTAAATTGAAATTTCAATTGTTCTAAATGTTTTTGTATTTCTCAAAGGTTCTTCAATGGTTCGTACTCACTGAACTCTGCTATCGTGCGTCCAATTCTCATATTTATATCAAAATTCAAACCTAGTTCCATTCTCCTTTTAAACAGTCTTGATTTAATTTTACGTTTAACAATAATTATGAATACTAATAGCTTTTATAATAATTGATGACAGCCTCGTTACTTTCATGTCGCATTCGTCATTAAAGCTGATAGCGCCGATATATACATATTATTTATTGATATTGTTATATTCGAAACCAGTTCTGAAGGCTTACTGTTTAGAGTTACTATGATACAAGACCATCAAATTATGTACCGGATGACATAACTCTTCATAATTACAGTTTTCCTTCAGAATGTCTCATGTCGGTATGAATACCTCCAATGTAAGAAGGATCAGGCAT